CTTGCTTTTGGATTCGAAATTCGCCAACATCTTCGCTCTGCTTTGTTAATCAATCAATCGCACAAACATCTTCAATTAGATTCATTTGATTTCGTGCATTGAAGACAAAAAATTAACCCAGGTTTGAGGGTGCGTGATAATTACCTTAGATCTGATTGATTGGGATACATATTTGTAGGCGGTAACGAGATGAAATCGATCGTGGAGTTGATTTTGGGGAAAACCGACAGTTACAATTAGAGAATCATTGCCATCGGCGCCGGAGAAGAATGTTGATTTGAGAAGCGTCGAAGAAGAAGGTCGGTGGGGGAGGGGGCAGTTGGTGGGTTTGAGATAGAGAGAGAGACCGACGATTCAATGTGGGATGTGAATTTTGTTTTCCCTAAAACACTCTTTGGTTTATTTGAATCAGATACCCCCATGTCTTATTCTTTTAATTATTTATAAAACTGCCATAATGCATCTCAACCTTCTATTATTTTGATCTAACGGTCCTTTTTTAGTTCTCGGGTTCTCGGGAAACTATAGGTTCTCAAAAGATCTTTCCTATATATATATATATATATATATATATATATATATATATATATATATATATGAGAAAGTCATTTTGGTTTTTTTCACTTCTCTGAGGGACCCGCACTCTTCCATATCCTCAAATCCAACTAGCTGAAACTCATTTTATGAATAGTAAATTGCTCTCACAAATACTCATTTACAAATATATATATATATATATATATATATATATATATATAATGTGTATAGAGATAGATTCAAATGTTTTTGACAACTATTGTGTCCATAAATGCATCAATAGGAATTCAGGAAAAAATTAATTCTTAAATAATCAAGATAAGGCTAGATATGTAATTTTGCATATAAAATAAATAATAACCAAAATTAAATCCTTGATTCATGGATCAAATCCCTTAAATTAGACCACCGATTCCCCTTTTCTCTAAAAATCATCGTCTACACCCGTCGGATCGCTACCAACTTCTCCTCTATCGTCGTCTCTGTATACAAACATCTACACGTCTCACACGCACAAGCAAGAGCCTCTATGATGGAATCCCTCTCCTCCGTATCTACCTGAATCGTCTTACATCCAGGAACCCCCTTCCACCACCACCACCACCGCCGGAGAATCCATCTACGTTACTCCTCCTTTTACACCTCATGCCTTCATCCCGATCACCGCCATCCTTCCCGATATCCCTCAACCTTCGTGACCCCTTCAAACCCTAAACTAAAACCGTATGGAAGCAGAGTCGATGGTATGGCGTGTAAATTGAATGTTGTAGGAAATCGAGGAGAAAGTAAAGGGGAAGATGAAGGAGAAGAGGATGCGTCGTCATTTCCAACAAACATTTGATAGCAGCAGTTATGATGGTATAATTTATCTCCGATCACTATTTTTTCGATTATAAATCTGAATTTTTTCATTAAATATTCTGATTAGTTTTTTTGTTTTTTTTTTATCTTTTTCTGTACGAATCGTTCATATTTGCTTGTTTTCATTGATCTGTCAAGTAATTGAAACTCACTCCTCCACAGATTCAGATTAGATTAAAAACTAGGATCTTCAAGGTGCCTTCTATGCATTTGACTTACTCGTTATTCTGATGTATTGATTCAGTGCTGGAAACCAATCCAGTTGGTGGTCTTGCTTATTATGTTACTGCACCTTCTCAAGGTAATGACCGACTCCATTCCATATTTCCATTCCATTCACATTCCTTGATTTGTGATGATTTATTGTTATTCTGATGTATTGATTTGGAATACAATTCTAGGTTGTTTGTGTCTTTTTATTTTTCATCAACACAAATTAATTTACTCTTTGAACCTTGTGGTATGCATTCTAAATCAAATATGTTGCTGGAAATTATGTTTATAGGTAAACTATTGCAAGTAAATCAAATATGTTTTTTGGCTTGTTTGATGATAATGTCTAACAAGTGTTTGTTGAAATGCCTGAAAGAGAATTTAAAGAATTTAACCTTGTGGTATGCATTCTGTCAGAATTACTAACAACACATGTTTTATGTAATTGTTTAAAAAGATAATTAATTTGTCTGTGTATTATTTTGGTTCAATTTGTGATTTTGAATTCCAATTTCTATTGTCTCTCGTTATTGTATATTTGAAATCTAAAATTATATTAGCAGTAAATACAATACTTTTGAATGTATTCTATGTATTCTATCAGAATGTATTCAACCAGAATAAAATCGATGTATTCTGCCAGAATGTATTATATGTATTCTGTTATATTCTACCAGAATATATTAAGTGATAGTTAATTGCAAGTAACATGTTTTTAACAATTATTAGTTTTTATTGTATTTGTGATAGAAATGGTTGGAAGAAGGCATTGAAGACCTTGATATTCTTTTAGAATATGTATAATTATATTAAAATGTATAAAGATTTTAGTCTGTAAGAATATGTATGAATTTGTATTTAAGTTCGGATGTATAAGAATATATTAGAATGTTTGTTATTTTTCAAAGAATTTTGTTTTTCTTCAATAATATTCTATTAGAATAAAATTCTAAAAGAGCATCATTCTAACAAAATAATATTCTATTAGAATAAAATTCTGAAAGAGCATCATTCTAACAAAAAATATTCTGACAGAATAAAATCGGTAAAAATTGAAATTGAATTAATTAAAAAATTCAGATTTTTTTAAATTAGGAGAATTAATCATCCCTAAAAATCCGAAAATTTCATTTTATAAATGTAGTTAATTGTCCAAAATACGCTTTTGCTAAAAATTATGTGATTATATGGTACATATTACCCCATTGTAATATCATACACTCTCAAATCATGTCCATTGATTAATTTCATTCATTGGTCCAGATCTGTGCATTCTGACACACAATACTTAGTAAAAACAAAATAACCTAAGCCAATGTGTATAAACTTAAATATATAATTAGCTTCTATAACATGGTATTTGTTGGAAACTTCCATCTTGCCACTTGATATTATTAGTTTGTTTCGAAACAAATCTCAGGGTCTTCCTATTATTTATGAGGGTGTACGTGTATGTTTATGCAATTTCCTTCAAAATCTTGGTAAATTTTCTTTAATTCGTGTTTTCGGTTTGTTTAGTTTTGCTTTTGATGGTAACCATTTTTTGGTTAACTCCTAGGCACACGCACTTGATGCTTATAAATGTAATTAGGGTTCAATTTGATTGCTAGATGTGAAGAGCATCACACTTCGTACAAAAGGTGGGTTTAGTGAGATTTGTTGTTGCGATCTGATTTCATGTAAATTACCGTTTTTTCATGTTATGTCTATAAGTTGATTAAGGGTTATCTGTAGATCATTTCTTGTTTAGTCTACAAATCTAGATGTTAACAATGCAAATTAATGGGTTGTAGATAATTTTTGGTTTGGTCTACAAATCTACATGTTAACAATGCAAATTAATGGATAGAGTTGTTGAAGAGATAGATCGGGATATGGTTTTGCAAATGTTATTGATGAAGTCTTGGCTAATTTATTTCTTTCGTTAAAACAAGTGTGTTATTGGTGAAACATAGCTCCAATTGATGTGATAACTCATGTTTCACTAAATACTATGCGAAGAAGCAGAGATTCCATATGTTAAATGTCATCCGAACGAGAGTCTCCCATTTGAATTCCCTGAGCAAGCTCTCCTCTTCCACGTTGCTGGAAAGGGCTTAGCCGCCTTTGGACAAATGTTACATCAAAAGAAACTGTAGTATTCGCCTGTTCATAACCATGCTAATCTTTTATCAGGATTTTTTTTTTTTGTACAACTCCTTATGAAAATTTATGCAAACATTTTGGTTTTTACGGTTGGAACTTGGAACATGCCCCTGTGAACAAACCCAATAGAACTACATCTTTCTAAACTCTTGCATCTTCTCATTCAATACAACAGCATACAATATAAACTATTCTAAAAATCTGCAAAAACGTGGCCAACATGGCCTTTACTTAGGGGGTGTTTGATTGTGGTCTGACTCGGTCCGGGTCAGCTAGGTCAGCTTGTTTGATTAGGGTTCTTTGCACATCTGATTCAGTCCACAATCTCTGATTCGGTCCTCAAAGAAAATATGGTTGACTCGGTCCTTTCCACCAATTTCACGTATTTGCCTTTCTCCTTCTCCTTGCCCGTAAACGACGTGACTCTTCTTTCTCCTTCTCCTTTAATCCACGCACAACTTCTTCCACCACCACTGGTCCTCTTCTTCGTTAATCGATTCATGAAATCGATTTTGAAATTAAATCGAGCAATGAAATCATTTTTGAAAGTGAGTTCAGTCGATTTAACCCCCTTCGCACTTAGAAAACACAGCTAGATAACAAAATTATGGAGATGCAATCCACCATTGGAGATGAAAAAAGAGCACTAGAGTGATGATTGATGAGAAGCAGAATGAAATCAAACACACAGAATCCAAAATCAACCATCTCAAAACCATTCTCCATTCTTCTTCTCCACCTAAAATCTAGTTAATGAGTTACAATGATCCATCACCATCAAATCGTGAAGAAAAGCGAAGGTGGGACCGAGAGAAAAGATGATTGAGGTAATTTCGAATTTCTTCTATCAGTGTATATTTTTGTTGCTTCATCCAACGACTGAGGTAAATTTCTAATTGGATTAGACTTTTTAGCAGTCAAAGGGGTTTTTTTATAACTTCAAGGTTCATATGATTTGTTTCAGATTTGAAATTTTCATGGATATGATCATGTAATCCAATAAGTGAAACCATAATAACAGTTGTTTTGTTGAAAATCTGAAATCTAAGAGTCTCAAGCTTCACCTCTCAGAAGTCAAACACTAGGTTTTAGTTTCATATCAATTTCTTTGAAATATTTATGTGATGTTGTATATAGCATATGATCATTCAACATTTTTATAATAATTTCTTGGTGATGTTGTATATAGCATATGATCATTTATAAATTAAATGACAAATCATAGAGAAATTATTATAAAAAATGTTGTTTAAGGTTATAGTCATTTTGCACAGTCAGTCATGTACAAAATCAAACAACAAGTTTCGGTCAGAAGCTAACTCAGTCAGAATTTCTAACTCGGTCAGCTTTCAACCCAGTTAGCAACTATCAAACGACCCCTTATTCAAACTCTACAAGGACTAAAAATACCCCTAAAGATAATCACGCGATCGACTTGGTTTGGATTAACACAACATTTACCTCTTCAAAAACAAACACCTAAAACTAGTTAAGCATAGTTTACACCCGTTAGAGAGTTGTATCGTATCTATGACATGACGTCTTCTGGGAAACTTGTTGTATCGTATCTATGACATGACGTCTTCTGGGAAACTTGTCTTGCCTTTACGATCCTGTAATTTAACAACTCATAAAATACAACATTTTCATTTCATGCATAAAATCAATCAATTGCCGATTGTTACCTTCAAACATTGTCAACAAAATCTCGGTATTTCTCTGGTACAAGAGATTTGACCAATGCAGAACCACATTTCCGCATCATAATCTCAAAAATTAATGTCACCTGTAATGTAATTGCATGCAAGCACATGATATGAGTACCATACATACATGCATACGTCATATGTATCCATAATTTGAATGTCAAAATTGAACACATACTTCTGATTTGATATGATGTTGAGAAATAGATGACCATGGAAGAAGTTCTTCTAAGATATCAGACAAGAACTTCTGCAAGTCTCTCGCTTGAAGGCTCAAAACCAACATCTTTAAAAACCCTAAAACAGCCTGTGACCATATTTGTATATAAGAAGTTACATTAATCAATAGTAGAAACATAGCAAAGGTTTAACATCAAGTTAAGAAACACTCACTTTTGTAACTTGTATGTCTTCACTATCCAGCAATTCAAGGATTTCTGACACAAGATCGGGCATCAAATGACAAATTTCTGAGTCGTTAGATATTAGTACAGACAGCGCAGAGACTGCACCACTTTTTATGCAAGGAGAAGACCCAGAGATATACCCCATTATCTGAAAAGTTGAAAATACATATATAAAAGAATGTTAAAGAAGAAAGTTTAATATACTGAGTGATTACCATGGTGATGAATTCATAATAAGGTGCTCTTTTTCTCTTAGATAAAGATGTTTTTTTCAAGATTGAACTTGTCTTTCGAAGGACGTCGTGTGCCACTTTTCTACTTTCTTCCTTGGACTGGAGATCAAAAGTAGATTATATTATACAATTATAAGAAAAAGATGACAGCCCGCTTAATGAAAAAAAAAAGGAAAGAAAGAAATTGCTTAAAGGTTGATCTTACATCTGCTATTGTCACTATGATTTCATTCAGCATATGAACACCATACGTGTTCTCTCCATCGCGAGTTATCTACAAAAATTCATTAGCAAAGAAAACTATTAGAGCGAATTTCACATGGTATATAAATAAGATTGTAAATAAATAATACTACAGAAACAGCAACATAAGAGAATACAACCTCAATGGAGTGAACTAACAAGATCTTGAAGCACGAAAACCGCCGTCTAAGTGAAATAATATCGACAGGGGACTTCAAATCAAGTAATAAATCCATAAGTTGCTCAAATTTTGAAGACTTGAACTCAAAACATTCCTGAATAGATAAAAAACAAAACCAAAAATGAGACATATTTTCTTGACATTCTCTAGAAAAGTAAGTACTATTGGTCCTTACCTCCAAGATTTTGTAAAGAGTGGCATATGCTTCACTTTGAAGGTTGTCATTCTCTTCCTACATAAAAATAAAAATAAGTTTGATTGTATGACTTTAATATATACATATATATATATATATATATATATATATATATATATATATATATATATATCAAAAAAACAAACCTGCAAGCAATCCTTAATAAAGTCGTATATAAGATCAGTAGGATCAATGCTAGTTGCCCCAACAAAAGATGATGCTAGTTCTAGTAGCAGACACATATTTGCATCAACTCTGATTTTCTCTACAGAAACATTCAGCTTAAGTGATGAAATGAAAATCACTTTTATTGTTGAATATTCAGTAACAAGTGCCAAGCATCCAATCGTATCCTGCAAATGTGTATACATATAAAGTCAGAAAGAAACCAAGAAATAAAAATCAGTCAAAGCGACATTGTTACGATCATGACCTTTACAAAAGCACGCTTCATGGGTGACACTTGAAAGAAAACTTGGGTAAAAGCCATCAATAACTCCTCTGAACATGACGACAAGGCCTTGATGTTTCTGGTAGCAATTTTTTTGTCGTAATCGATCCTTGGAAGTTTGGAAGTCTGATCATCATCCAATGAACTCCAGTTTTTGTTGTCATTCACAAGATGCTACAGAAAAAGCAAAGCTAGTACAAAAGAACCATCTAGAAAAACAATTTTTACAATTTAAACATTTATTACCTGCAATGCAATGGCAATATCCTCCAGCATATACGCATCTTTTTCTATGTATGAAATCAGAAGCTTCGCCAAAGATCCAAAAGTTTCATGCATGTCAATTGGTTGGCGACAAAAGGCGAGCAGTAATCCCCAACAACCACGTGCATGAGACTGTAGTTCTTCTCTAATTTCTGATCTTTTAACTTGCAAGAAAAACAAAATTTATGTCAATATAATTATAAGAATCCAAAAATGTTGTATATATTGAGGGGGTAGGTACCTTTTTGGGATGCTTCCCGGAAGGATTCAGCTAGAGGCACAATACTTTGAATAAAAAACTCCAAGTATGATCTACATGTATATTCCTTCAATATGGGTATCAACCAAGTATTTGAGAATGTTAGATCATCGGCATCATGTGAGATAGGTAACAGTGCAAGTGCTTTAACAGGTCCCATAACAATTATGGCAGACCCGATACACTCCTGAAGCTGAAATATCAAATATCAAATATCAAAATAGTGTATTATGTTGAAGAAAAAGAAATAACACATAAATTTTAATGAAACAAAACATACATGTTTTACATCACCAGATGCGGTTGTCATAAAACTAGCAAGCTTTAAAAGTATGTTGCCCATGTATGTATGAGAATATTCCCCTACATATCACAAATATAGACAAAGATTAGAACTAGGTGCTTATGATGCTACAACTAGTAAACGGACATACAAAGTTCGCGAAATAAATCAGAGATGACAGCCAAAGAATGCTCATTTGGAGTTCCTTTCTGTGTACTCAGAACTTCTAGAAGTGCATCACATAAGGATTTCACTATTCTTGATTCCTTGGATCCGTCAGTATCTACATGTTCATATAAATCTACACGGTTTATCATTTCTTTTAAAATATTTGAAGCCCTTATAGCAGTAGCCTCAGATGTCTTCAAAAGACCTAAAACCACAAGCAAAATGTCAGTCAACTAATATAATCATATCAAGAAAAAAGATATATCATATATGTCTGTCTACCTGCTATAGAACCAATGACTAATGAATAATGGCAATTCCATTTTTTTACTATCTTTACTTTATCTGACATTGTAAGTTCAGGTTCGGGTTCGGGTTCGGGTTCAGATTCAGATTCAAAGAATCGAAGTATCTCTTCCATGAAATCCAAAGCATGCATCGCCAACAGTGAGAACTTGGTACTTAAAGATTTTTGTAATTCTACAATGGCTTTTGATATGACTTCGCTTGGTAAACAAGGGAGCAGAATTTTCAACAAATCGAACATGCGAAGAACCTCTAAGTGTTTACATTTTGATACAAGATCATCTTTAGAACCATCTGCTGATCTTGAACCAACTGTTTTAATTGCCGAGGACATACATGTTTTGAATGATTTTAGCACCAACTTGCTTGCACTGTTTTTGACAACAGGAGATTGGAAAGACTTGAAGACCTTCACAACACGATCTTGAGCACATTTTCTAACCTGCAACATGCACAATAATCAGTGAAGAGTAAACTATTTCTGAGTTGAATATTAGTGGGTAATGTAAACAATATATATTTATGCTTGGCATTGGCCACAAGATAAACATACCTTTGGACGTTTATCTATTGCATGCTTGATGAGCGTCTGGAAACCTAATTGAACGAATTTCGAATCGGCCGAATTACACAACTCCAGCAACAATCCCAAACACTTGAGCAAAGCCCTCACTCTCGAAACCTGCAAACCCTGACATGAATTATCTAACAGATTGACCACAATTTCCACAGCCCTAGCCGCGGTGGACATATCTATAGACTTCTTAGGAACCAGAGGTAACACAAGTGCCAAAAAGGACGACAGCGCAGATACTACATCATCAGCATCATTATTATCTGTTTTGGAGGAATCAAGGAGGGCATCAATGGTGGCATAGTAGTAATCGAGGGGAGTGAGGGACCGAGATTCAGATTGGGCGGTAGAAAGAAAAGCAGAAGCAATTGCGCAGAGGTGGAAGTGTTGAGGTGCAATGGATTTGCTGTAACGGTGTAGGAGTTGTTGACATATATCAGATTCACCGGTGAATGAGATAGTGGATTCTTCCATGAATACTTCGGTAGATTGTGGCCGTGTTATGAATTTTTCATAGTCCGGGTTTCAGTACTGTAGGTTTTATAAATTGTTTCTGTTTAACACTATCAATAAAAGCAAGGTAACTAACAGAACCAGCTTTTTTGTACGTAACCTGTAAGAAGAAAGTTGCAAAATATCTAAATTAGACAAATCCGAAACGTCAAATATATCAGTTCATAGTAACTTCTCTATCAATTTCCAGTTCTGGAATAAGCGAACATTAGGGAACCAAAACCCCCAAATAACCCTAGAAGAGAACATATAACATCAAACTCAAGTCTATTTGTTTTTTTTTTTTCTTGAATTGGGTCTCAAAACAAAGACAATCTCGTAAAACTAGAGAAGGAAAAAGCATACAGACGAACAATCCATGGATTTTTATATGCGACTATGTAATTGTGTCAGAAATTAATATATAAATAAAACGATGACAAGTACCTCAAAAATCTCTTGCTGGTTCTCTCGATCGAGCGATGGAGATGATGGTTTATGATGGCTATCCGATGATGGGGTTGAGCCCTAATTTAATTAGAGAGAGGAATAGAGAATGACGGATATAGACGTGACCAAAAAAACCGGTTCACAAACCGAACCGGTCAGTGAACCGGAAACCGGTTTACCCCCGAACCGGTTCAGCCCTGAACCGAACCGCACTTGAACCGAACCGCCGGACCAATACCAATTCGCTGTAGTTACCGTTGAGACCGGTTTAGAACCGGTTTAGTATGAACCGGTTTTTTGATCCGGTTTTGAACCGGTTTTGCATATGCCCGTTTTTTTGTCTTATTCTAACGGCTATATAGCCGTTTATGGCTGTTAGACACCCGATTTTTGGTCCATTTTGGCCATATTCCCCAATATTTGATAGTATAAATAGCTATTAGATGTTTTGGGTTAACCAAACCTCAAAAAACCTCTCTTACTTCAAAAAACGCTCTTAATTCAAACAATGGATTCGGCTTCCGTTGGTATTGGAGATTCATCAAACACTCTTACCGTTGTTAGCATCAAAGAAACAAATAGAAATCCGGCTATTTGGTGCAACTATGATTTGTGTGTAATGTCGAATGGTCTAAAAAAGGCGCGATGCAAGAAATGTGGTGCTTTTTTTAATGAAAAAGGGAATTCGACATTGAAAACTCATATGACAAAAAGATGCCCCGCGGTGAAATTTGGGTCAGGTCATAATCAAACAACAATGGCGAATGATGCAACATTGTGGAGTTACGATTTGGCTAAAGTTTGGCTAAAGTTCGGGATAGGATGGCGAAGTTCGTGATTCAAGAATGCTTGCCTTTTGACCACTTCGACAACAAACGTTTGACTTCACTCATCCAAGATACTCTCCAACCACGATATTGCCATGTGAGTCGTACTTCTATTAGACGTGATTGTATTGAAATGTGGAAACTTGCAAAAAATGAATTGATTTTAGGATTTCAATCTTTAGAAACCGGTGTGAATTTAACTTGTAATGTTTGGACGGCTACTCACGGTTCACCGGATGCGTACCTTTGTGTTACCGCTCATTGGATTAATCCAACTAATTGGGTAATGATGAAGCGTACGATTACGTTTGAATTGTTTGAGTACCCGCACACCGGTAGAAATTTATTTAAAATTTTAGATTGTGTGATCAAAACTTATAAACTTGAAGGAAAGATTTTTTTCTATATCTTTTGATAATGCTTCAAACAACACCGTCGCGGTTGGACAACTAAAACTAAAATATAAACCAATTTGCGATGGTGTTTTTTTTCATAGTCGATGTGTTGCACATATCATTAATTTGGTTGTGCAAGATGGACTAACTAGCATTGAAACTATAAGAGATGGTTTCAAAGACATGCTAAAAGATATTTTTAGTTCAAGTAATGCTCGATATCATAATTATATGCAATTTTGTGTCGATGCGAATGCCCTCTTTTTAGGTCCGAATTGGGAAAATAATATCCGATGGAACTCCACTTGCAAAATGTTTGAATGTGCCTTACGTCAAAAATATACTTTAAAAATGTTCCATGACAATCTTGCGGACCGTAACAAGGTTACGGCTTATCCGGAATCAAGTTGGGATACTATCAAACTTGTTACGGACATGCTTTATGTTTTTAAAAAAGCAACTACTTATTTATCGGGGGTTTATTACCCTACAAGTTGTTTAGTTTTAAACCAAACTTTTTTAATGAGTGCGAAAATAAATGAGTTTGAAATGAGGAGCGCAATGTTTGCTAATATGATGAAACCGATGAAAGCAAAGTTAAAAAAATATTTTCAAGAAATGTCTCCCATTATTACTTGTTCCGCCGCTTTGAATCCGTCTCTAAATGTTGGGGGGTTGAGACTTTAATTGAAAATATTTGTTACGATTTGGGTTTATTGGATGATGACATTGATTATGCATCAAAGGAAGTTTCAAAATTTAACAAAGTTTTTCAAAATTTGTTTGAAGTTTATTTAACAAAATATGGTTCAACAAACATTCATGACGTGATGCAAAATACAGGGGCATCCGGATCCACTTCTCACCAAAATAACGAAACAATTAGGCTTTATAATACTTTAAGGAATGAAAATTCCAAACGAGCTCGGTCTAACACCCCTAGTAGCGAGCTCGGAAGGTACATTGGTTCCGATTTCTTGTCTCAAATGAGTATTCAAGAGTTTGAAAATTTTGATATTTTGGCTTGGTGGAAAGGAAAGGAAACCCAATTTCCGATTCTAGCCGCTATGGCTCGTGATCTACTAAGCTCCCAAGCTTCTATGGTAGCTTCGGAATCGGCTTTTTCTGTTAGTGGCAGGGTTATATCACCAAGAAGAACAAAACTCACCCCTTTGTCGGTGGAAGTGTGCATTTGCTTGAAATGCTACCTTGATGGTGTGGAACGGATACAAGATGTTGAAGCACTAGAACGCACATCGTTGCATGCCGAAGCACGAGTACATGAGGAAGAAGTAGCAATGGGAATGTCGGTGCCACTCACCCTAGAAGAGCTCGAGTATGAGAGAGGATTGCGCAACGACATGGCGGATGACGAATAAATACAATGACTACGGACTTGGAATGAAGACTACGACGACAACAATGTTCCCTTTCTGAAGATGTATTAGTATGACGACAACAATGTTTTATATTTGGATGTTTTGTGTTTTTATGTTTGAAGTTGTATTATGTATTTCTAATATAAAAAAAACGAAAAAAAAAATGAAAAAAAAGGTTGAAAATTGCTCCAAAAAATGTGTTGATTCAAGTTGAACAATTTTTTACATATATTATGTTTTTCTACATATACACAAACATAAAATTTAAAACCAAAAAAAAAGTTAATACATGAAAAGATATGTATATTATTGAACAAGAAAAAAAAAAAAAAAACATTTTGGCAATATGGTCCATATGGATGTGTATGTGTATGTATATATGTAAGGCTTATAAGCCTTTGCCTTCCCAATCCCCCAAACCACCTACTGTGAAGCCAAATTTTTTTTTGGTTCAAGACAATCTAGTGCTTTATACTCTAAACAAAAAAAATTCATTCCTATTTTACACTTATTAGCCCAAAAACAAAAAAAAATTAGAAAATCTTATTTGCGTCGAACCGGTTTTGAACCGTTTTTGGACCGGTTTTTGAACATGTTTTTGAACCGGTTTTCTGAACCGGTTTTTGCTGAACCGGTTTCTATTAAACCGAACCGGTTTACATATGTTCGGATATTTTTGGGGCAGAACCGGTTTGGAACCGAACCGGTTTGGGGGTGAACCGGTTTTGACTACGTTGACCGGAACCGAACCGATTTTCTGAACCGGTCCGGTTCAGAAAAAAAACCGGTTTTGCATGCCTAGACGGATATGGAAACCAAAATAAATAGGCTAGCTCAGGGCCGGTCCAAGCCGATTTGGGCCCGGGACAAAGACAAAAAATGAGGCCCTTTAAAATTTAGAAAATTAGTATTTTTTTAACATCAAGAGATTTTTTATATTAAAAGGCTAGCATAGACCTAGAAAATACAATGACAATAAAATAAGAATGTTCTCCTGACAGTGTAAGTAAAATGTTTGAGAAAGAATCAAAAATCTTCAGACGTCAATAAACTTTAGGATCTAAACTTGGATCATCAAGGTGAAAAGAAAATTTTAAGCAACAATAGCCTCAACTACACTTGTGCATAACAAAAACACATTGGCCAATCTTACACTTATCACTTATCAGTTATGTAATTTATGGTGCTTTGAGCGTCATGAACAAGAAACAAGGTGAGATAGAAATTTGTTCTTAAACTTCCATCATTACTAGGATCCAAATTTTGAGCCATGACTACAATATAAGAGATCACTCTACTAAAACTATTATAGAAACATCAAACAAACAGCCAAAACATTAACTCTAAATCATACAAGTCTCCTAGGCATTTTATCAAACATATGGAGTCCATATCCATTAAAGGAAAACAATGTACACTAGCTCACATAACAAGCTTCAAGACGGCCTTCTATACAACCATATGAACAAAAAAAAGCACATAGAACCTAAAGACTAATCTTTGTAAACAAATTCAAAATTAAGCTTCAACAGTTAAACCCAATAGAAACTATCATAAGCAACCACAAATCAAAACCAAGTTTCCAGCAAAAAAAAAAAAAAAAAAAAAAACTACCATCAATATCGTTGAAGGAATAATCAAACAAGATGGAAGGTTGATTGAGGATTTGATGTCTTTGATTAAACTCATTGAAGGTTGATTCGTGAAGGATGACGTATGAATGAAAAAACGTTAGTGTAGTAAAAGAAGCGTAAGAACGCAACAACGCATGGTCTGAAATATAAATCGATAAAAAAGCCTTAAAAGCATAACTCGCTTTAGGAAGGTTGGTTCTTGAAAACATTGTATTGAAAATTGAGAAGTCGCTAAGAATTCAAAAAATATGTAAAAACAGCTAAAAGTAAGTTTCGAACGAAGGTCTTCCACTTCAAAACTTACATGTGCCTCAACCATCTCAACTACAAACATATTTGATTTTTCTCTACATAATATATTTTATATCAGCTAAAACTATATGTATATATACTAATCAGGACTCTCGTAGGGGCCCCGAGATTTGGAGAGGCCCGGGGCGGTCGCCCAACTTGCCCTCCCTCTAGGGTCGGCCCTGGGCTAGCTAATTTAAAATTCACGTAAACTAACCAAATTTTGTAAGTGTTTTTCAAGGAAATAACTGTTTTTTTTTAATAGTTTGCAAAATAACCACAGTTTTGGAATGCTGGCTAGAGTAGGCACAAAAAGCCACCCAACCTCTCAACCTAACCCAATATATCTGATCTAACCTGACTCGAACCCAACCTAAAATTAATGGATTGGTCAAGATTTTCATACTATCCCCATCGGGGGTTATATGCGAGCAGCTCACCGATTATTTAATTTGAAAAAAATAAAAAGTAAAAAAAAAAAAACTGCAGTGATCCGCTCACCACAACAACCCAGTTCGTCCATCTAATGACCCATGTTTCTAGCCACGTGTCCATCATCAAAAGATGGTGTTACATTAATATTTAAGATCAAAAATTAATTTCATAAGTAATCATATTTTACTTTTATAAAAAAATAAAATAAATTATATATAAATACATGATTTCTTTTTCTCTACGAAATAAGATCAATATAGATGTATATTTTTTTACTTCTTTTTATTAAAAATTGGTTTGGTTCAGATTGCTAATGAGTGTAGAAAATTGGATTGGTTTGGGTTGTATAGGTGGAAGAGGGAGAAATTAATTTTTTATAGAAAAATTGGATTGGGTTAGGTTGGTAATGGGGGTAGTCTCAGTATGTTTAAGTTAAATGGGTCAGTTCGCCTAACTCATTTATTTAAATAGGTTGGGTCGAATAAAAAATGTTAACCTATTTTCAACCCGCCAAGGCGTTTAAATTTAATACATATTTTATTTAATTTTAATAATATAATATTTCCAATTATTTTATGTATATTATTTGATTATTTGATATCTATATCTGTATAAAAGATTATGCTTTAATTATAAGTATAATTGAGTTCAAAATAGTATAAGTATAAAGTATAAACCTAATAAATTTTGTCGGGCTTTGATCCTATATGTAGCCATTTTACACAATACTTATGAATGCAAACCTACATCTCTAATCTCTACTCTCTAATCTCTAGATATTATTAAAATAGAATCTTTAATTCACCCATGAAACAGGACCCTTGAATTTCAATTCTAAACTTTCTACCCTTAGATCTGTTTGATTACATCACCTTGACCAAAATATAGACGCGCGTCTAATTGTAACTCACAGTCTTACCTTCTGCATGTTAAAAACCCTAATCTCCTCTACACACGATTAACCGTCGTCAAACCACATCTCCTATTTCTCTTCCCTTTTTTCTCTTAAGTCTCTGGCAGCCATTTGTTATCACCACCCTCCGTACGTCGCCTTTACAACTTACAAGAAGGTAACCTACCATCCCTTCCTTATTAACCCTCACGTGCTTACCTAAAACTTCTTCCCTATCAACAGTATGATCAAATCCCTGTAAAACGCTAGTCGGAGACACCGTTGTTGAGGATCTGCTCCATTCCCTCACCCTATAGACGATATGTACCATTATTCGAGAATTAAATGAACTCTTGCTATCGAAAAATTTTCTATGTGATTATGGATTTAGAGCGCTCTGATTGGCTTGGACAAAAGGTTATAATTTTCTCCTCTTTGAGTTGATTTTCTTGCTGAAAATTAAATCTGAAGAATGCTTACTCGTCTTTAAAATCATTTATGATTATATGGATGATTATAGCGTATTGCAAAACCATCTCCCCAATCATAACCTGGAATCCTCCTGAAATCCGACTGGGTAATCTCTTCAATTGGATTTACCATGCTTTTATTTCTTGAATCGATTAACCCCTTTGGGCTTAAAGAAACCCCTGATTTTGGCATGAGTGGAAATTTGCAGCTTCCGTTCACCACCCATTCAATGAAATGCCTCAAAGGTTGCTTCTGTTTGATTTTGCCTCTATCATGAAAAGAGATAGTATGTTGTCTGGTCTATCCCCATCTTATTTCTACCACCATTCAGTTGCACTTTTGTGTCTTTTTGTTTTAGCCTATGGATGCAGTAAATGTGTGGGATGCTATTACTAAAAATTCAACCCAAAAGCCAAATGAGCTCAAGATTTTCTATCTTTAAAAACTATAAGTATTGCTAACATTGGGTCACAAATAACCGTCCAATGTCACCCATTGGTTCTTCCCAACTTTACATCACAGTCGTGTAAACTCTCTCTTTACGATTATGACAACGGTTTTCATTCTGATTCTCCTTCTTTCCCACGATTTGAAGATTGTATCCCTCACCCATGATACCTTATATTTCCGTTTCAACTCCTCCTCACGTTTATTCAACCCCCAAGGTTCAATTCATATAAATAGAGCTCTATTGGGAGATGGAACAAACATCGTAGTCCAGTTCAATTCCATGAATCTTCTCTCTCCCTCTCAAATTAATTTTCAGGAGTTAGGGTTTATTACAGTTACACATCTATTCTCTTGCTTCATCTCCATCGTAAACGAGTTTGTGTGATGTTTTTGGAAATTGGGAATTTGGAATTGGAAGTCAAAGACACTCAATTTGTTCTTAATTTACTCTCATCTCAATCCTTATATTTACGTTTGGATTTTTATGCTATCGGGGAGTTCACGAATCTTGTTTTAAAGATATTACACCATTCAGACCGTATCTGAAACTGGATGCCAATTTCTTTGTCATACTAATGCTCCTTTTCAGTTGTTATTGTTTACCAAGTTGTGTGAATGGAAGATAACATCGATCATTATCCATCTTGTATCATAATTTATGCTTCCATTTGAGGTTATAATTTTTTATCAGCTTAGTTCAGATATTTGAGCTCTCTTTTTCTGGCTAATTTCTCCTCTGATGCAACTCCTTTCTCCCTTTTTATAACGTCCCAAAAATAATAACCATAATTTTTATTTTTAATAATAATAAAACTATTCATCAAAGGTATTTACAAAACCACGGTAGAAAATCAGAGTATGTCAACAATCACCCAGAAATACATCCGAGTCTAGTATTGCGGAAATCATGGTGTATGCTGTAACGCCCAAGTCCTGGTACGCATTTAAATCATAAAGTATTCATTTTGTAAGAGCTACTCGACGAGTTTGTAGCCCTAACTCGTTGAGTAGAAGCCGAATGGGACGCGGGGTTTAAGTGACCTACTCAACGAGTCGAGAGCCTCGACTCGACGAGTAGGGCTGCCAGGAGGAAACCCTACTTTCGGGGTTTTTCACCATATTTAAGCCACTTAATCCCACTTTAGGGCCTCCTTTGCCAGCCTCCCTGTCCCTTAAAACTCTAAATCGTTTGAGAGCCCTTTATGAGAGAATCTTGAAGTTTTGAGTGTGTTTTTGTGCTTGGTAAAGGAATTGGAAGAACTAGAAGTCATAAAGCTTGGAGAGAAGCTTTAGATTTGGGATCTCATCCATTTTTGTCAGCCTTCTGAGGTAAAAAGTCCCTAACTTGATTATTCATAGCTTAGATCTCTTCTAGTTTTGATTTATGGGTCTTTTTTGACCCCTTTGAGGAGAATATGTTACCCTTCATGGATTGTGTATCAAACATTCCCATTTCCAGTGATTTTTGGCCCTTAGAATCATAAAAAGGGTCTTAAATCTGTTCTTGTCCAAGTAATGGCCATATTCATGGAAGTAGATTGTTATAACTTGAGTTTGGGTCCATTTGAGGTGTGCAAAGCCATCAAGTCGCCAACTTTATAGTGGGCCATGGAATCAATTTGAATCTGTATTTTGGAACCCTAGGTCTGAGGAATCAGGTGTATAGGTTTAGATCTGCAAGGGACTCGACGAGTTCATATAGGAACTCGACGAGTCCGATCGAGAATCCCCGTTTTGTTCATAGAACTCGGCGAGTTGTCAAGGAACTCGACGAGTTTGATTATCTTGTCCCGTTTTTTATTTCGTTGGAACTCGACGGGTTTGAGGATGAATCGACGAGTTAGTTCGTCTAATCACGATGATGAGTAGCCAGGGAACTCGGCGAGTCATGAGGTGACTGGGCGAGTTGAGTCGCGGTTTTAGGATTTCTGAGTTTTAGAACTTGGCGAGTCGATATGTTGACTCGACGAGTTGGGTCTACCCAGAAGGTTGACTTTGACCAGGGGTAAAATGGTCATTTTACCCTAAGGAAGATTAGTGGATTTTGACTAAGTGTTATTCTATATGATTAGCCGGAGAGTTGTTGGAGCAGCCATCGGAGATTCCTCACTCAGGATTTTAGCAGTCAGCATTACGAGGTGAGTTTCCTCAGTAGGAACGGGTCTAAGGCACCAAGGCCGGCCCGTATAAGATATTATTATAGTAGTTGAGTGGGGGTGGGGCCCGAATCTCATAGTAGTTGAGTATGGGTGGGGCCCAAATCTCATAGTATTGCTTGAGTATAGTTATGTGCCTGCTTGATAGAGTTAGAGATACTTGTTGTCTGTGTGATACTTGTATGCATGACAGTAGTTGAGTGTGGGCGGGGCCCGAATCTCAAAATAGCGGAGTGTGGGCAGGGCCCGAATCTCCTAGACAGTGGAGTGTGGGCGAGGCCCGAATCTCCTAGACAGCAGAGTGTGGGTGGGGCCCGAATCTCCTAGACAGTGGAGTGTGGGCGGGGCCCGAATCTCCATGAGAGTGGGCGGGGTCAGTATCTTCTAGTTGCATGTTATATGTGTATGGTATGTGGTAGTTTGGGGAGACTCACTAAGCTTCGTGCCTACAATTTTCAGTTTTGGTTTCAGGTACTTCCGGTAGCAAGGGGAAGAGCCCAGGATGATTGTGGTGCACACATCATTAGTTCAGTCTGGGATGTTTTGACTCTGATATTTTGATATAATTGATGTGATGTTTGAGATGTTATGACATGTGCTTTGGATAACTATGGTTTTTAATAATACTTAAAAACGAAATTTTTGGGTTGTATTTTTGAGATGTTTCAAGTTGGTATCAAAGCCTTGGTTTGAGGTATTCGGGCACACTCTCGGGTGTGTCTGAACTCAAACTAAGGACTTGGTATGAAAATTTTTAAGGAAAAATCATTTTTAGAAAAGAATTTTGAAAAGATAAAATAATTTCCAAAAATAGAAAAGGGTGTGGTGCATGCAATCAACCGAGCTCAAGTAAGTACTCCCAAATTATCCATACAAGTTTATGTTATGATATGCTTATGAGAGCTGTTGAGAGAAAAACTTGAGAAACACACTTGAAAAAACGTTAGAACAAGTTATATTGCGGAATAAAGTTTAACTCAAAGGATCATAAAGCTCAACAATAATAAGTTAGCGTTAGATAGTTAGATAGTTAGGTGCGGAAATGTAAGGAAATATAAATGACAACAAGTTTTATATCAAGTAAACACTTTAGCTGATTCTTAACGAGGATTGGAAACAAACCAAGTTAGTGAGTGCGATCATTCTAAAAGTGATTAAGTCAATAATGACTTGCTCCGAAGGAGAGATTACGATCTTAAAATATGAGTTTAAGTTCTGAAGATCTTTGAGAATAAGAGAGAGTAGTGAGTGAATAAGTAAGATATGAGATTCAAGAGAGATGTGTATTCAATCAGAATAAGAGAGCTCTATATATAGAGTCTCGAAGATTACTGATATTGCCATATATATACATATTTTTAGGCAATATTTATTTACATTTTTATTAATATTTTGGTTATTTGCATAGAATTATGATACTTATGAGGATAAATTGTAATTTGCAGCCAAAGTTAAGCATTTTCGAAGTAAGGGACTAGAATTGACAATACTTGGAACTTTGGAGGCTTGAAGGAAAGAATGATGAAAAACCCAGCAAAAAGACGTGCTCACGACGTGAATATCTTGATGTTCACGACGTGAGTCGAGTGTTCCAGAAGATATGCATCCGGGTGAAAGAGTCCTTGTCGAATACGTAAAGAGCGCACTCACGACGTGAATCCTTATGATTCACGACGTGAACTCGGGAAATCAGAAAACTATGAATTCCCTTGCCCATTACGACTTGAAAAACTTTTTGGATGATTAGAAGGTTACCTGAAGACGATTCTGAGCAGAAGAAGAGTTCTTAAATAGGCTTTCAACACCAAAAAGAGTAGAGGTTCATATTTAGTTAATTAGTTGGATAATCATGAATATGTTTTATACTTTGAATCGTTTTTGCTTATTTGTTGTCATGAGCAGCTGAATCTAGCATCTCTTGTCTAGCTAGATGAAGCTTCTGAATTATGTTTTAGCTTAATGACTATTGGATTTGATTAGTTGGTAAATTGCTTGTGTTTGATTATCATTACCTAGCATGTTATTTTAGTTCCTTAGTTGCTTAAATTCACGTTCTGTGTAGCTTAGTGACCATTAAATTACATGAACTTGAAACATAGTGATTTAGTGAACATTGAATTGCTAGAGCTAGGATCGACCAAAATCTTAGATAAGTGATAAAAGTAACTAATTTAGCTGTGCTAGAGAACATAATTTATGACCATAATTGTATTTACTTAGATAAATCTTACATAGCTCACCTATAATTAATAAC